GGGCTTGACCCCCCATCTCTCCGCAGCTGGAGAGAAGAGGCACCGGGCATCCCCGCCTGCTGATGCGTGGCCCCATGCTGCCCGCCTGTGGGTCCCGGGCTGGCGTGACTATGCCGGCAAGGAGCCCAGTGCTCCTCCCTTGTGCCGGGACAGCCCCACCCAGGGCTCCCCGGTGCTTTGCATGTGCCTGTAGCGATTAGGGTCCATCCGCGCCGCGGGTCTGGGGTGGGGAAAGGGGGGGGGAAACCCTCTGCCCACTCTCCATCCCAGAGCAGGGCTGTCACCGGTTTTGCCCGCTGGCATGGAGTCGTGGGGGATGCAGCCTCCCATTCGGGGTCCAGCCCCATGTCCTCACCTCCCGAGCAGAGACCTCCTGCTTGCCAGGACAGGGGGTCCCTCTCTCAGGACCGGCCGCCATGAGGCAGCACCCTCCGGGGGAATGGGAGCACCTCCTGGGATGGGAGCCCCCCGTGGCTCATAGCGCAGGGTGGGGCGGGCAGCACCTTTCCCTCCTCTCCCCCAGCCCGAAGCCTGGCCCTGCTTGGCCGCAGCAGTTTGGGGAAGTGGTCTGAAGTGAAGGGAAAATGCAGAGGTGTCGGCCTGGGTGTAAGCAGCCCAGGGAGACATGCGAGCGGACGGGTACGGGGAGCAGCACCGTGGTTGTGCTCTGTGCCTTCGCCCACCCAAAGAGCCAGGAAGGAGGAGGGTCCAGCTGCTTGGGGTGAAACATGCCTCTGAAGAGCCCCTGGGGCCAGTTTCCCACTGGGAGGGTGTGCAGCAGGAGAAAGGGGGTGTCTGTACCCCGTGTGTGGGGCAGCTCAGCCCCCCCTGCCCTGGATGGAACTGCACATGCAGGGATGGGGGGCTGCAGGGAGGGGACACGGGGCAGCGGCGTTGGGATGATGCCTCGGCCCCTGGGGTCTCTGTAGGTGGGGGTTTTGCTGCTGACGAGCAGGCTGGGTTCCCCTTGCACCCAGGGCCAGGCAGGGCAGGGAGATATGGGGTGCTTCATGGGGTGGCAAAGCCCCACGAGGGCAGGTGGTGACAGGACCCGCCGCTAAGCCAAAAGGGAAACTGAGAAAGCTGCCAACTGTTGGGGGTGACAAGCGGCTCTTCCGTGCCACAGCCACCGCACGGCAAGCTGGCGGTGCTGGAGCCCGCGCTGCGCCTGGGGAGGTCCTTCAACCCAGAGGGGGATGTGCTGACACAGTTGCGGTGGGGACGTCCCGCAGCTGGCGGCAGTTGGGGCAGAGCAGTGTTCGTGACGACCCCTCCGGCTTTGCCACCCGTGACCTGTGGCAGCAGAGGGGAGGAGGACATGGTGTCTGGGTCGGTGTCCCCATCGTGCCCCGTCCCAGGGCAGGGACAGACCTTGCCAGCACGGGGCCGTGGCTGGAGCAGAGCACCATGCGGGAAGTGCCACGCGGCAAGCGCCATGCGGCAGTTGTCCGGGCTTGTAACCCCAGCGGGGACCTCACAGGCGCCCGTGCTGCTGGCGAAAACCCTCAGGCGCAGCCCCGAAATCAAGATGCACGTCGGGCAGCTGCCAGCACTGGGCTCTGCCCTTGCTCCGCACACCAGCCCGGCCATGGTTTCTCCTGCCTCTGGCGCAGCAGGGCATGGGGCTGCGGCATTGAGCCTTGGCTCACCGCTGCTCTGGGCAGTAACGTGACGGTCCAGCTGTTGCTGGCTCTGTGCAGAACGGACCCCAGATGCTCGCCCAGGGCTCCATGCAGACCTGGGGGTCTCTGGGCATGTGGTCTCCCCTCCTTGCCCCTGTGGGGTGCGGTGCTGGCTCTCGTGGGTGGGAGAGGGGCCGGGGCCCCGGCAGCGGGTGGCTACTGACACCTCCTCTCCCCACAGCGCTGCTGTACAAACCCATCGACCGGGTGACGCGGAGCACCCTCGTCCTGCACGTGAGTGTGATGCCAGTCCCGGGGTGGCGGGGGGCTCTGCCCCCGTTGCTCCTGGGGACCCACAGCCATGGAGAGTGTTGCTGGGGGGTCTCCAGGGTGGGTGCTGCAGGCAGGGCAGTGCCCTCGGGCCGCTCACCCACGCCTGTCCCCTTTCAGGACCTCCTCAAGCACACCCCAGCCGACCACCCCGACTACCCGCTGCTCCAGGACGCCCTCCGCATCTCGCAGAACTTCCTCTCCAGCATCAATGAGGACATTGATCCCCGGAGGACAGCGGTCACCACCCCCAAGGGGGAGGTGAGGCAGCGGGGAGGGCAGTGCCTGGGCACAGGGTGAGGACTGAGCCCTCTGCCAACCCCTGGCTGGTGTCTCCACCCTGAGGAGCTCCATGGTGCTTGGCCAGGAGATGGAGGGTTTCCTCTAGATGCAGTCCTGGGTGCAAGGTTAGGGCTCTACCTGGTCCTTGCTGCTTGCTGGCACCATACTGAGAGTATGGGACCCAAAACAGTACCCAGAGGACATGGACCTTCCCATGTCCCTGTTGATTTAGCCATGGAGAGGGACAGGAGCATCCGTCCCCTGCAGTTTGTTGGCTTTTGCTCTCTGCCCGCTCTCACGCCAGCCCTGCTGCCCCGCAGACCCGGCAGCTTGTCAAGGACGGCTTCTTGGTGGAGCTGTCAGAGGGCTCACGGAAGCTGCGGCACGTCTTCCTCTTCACCGATGTGCTGCTCTGTGCCAAGCTGAAGAAGACGGCGGTGGGGTAAGGAGGGTGCTGGGCATCGGGGGGGGGGGATGTGTCACAACCTCCCTGTCCTCTGGCAGGCAGAGGGACGTGCCAGGAGGGGGGTCAGGCATCACTCAGCGCCCGTTCCCCGGCCGCAGGAAGCACCAGCAGTATGACTGCAAGTGGTACGTGCCCCTGGCCGACCTGGTGTTCCCCTCACCGGAGGAGTCGGAGCACTGCCCACAGGTCCACGTCATCCCCGACCACGAGCTGGAGGACATGAAGATGAAGATCTCGGCCATCAAGAGCGAGGTGCAGAAGGAGGTGAGAGGAGGGTGTGGGTGGTTGGGGAGGGCGTGAGACCTGCTGCCGGGTGGGTGCCTTCCTGTGGGGTCAGGGATGGGACATGGAGGGGCTGGGGGCACCTGCGAAAGCTCCTGTCCACTCCCCCTCTCCAGAAAGCCAACAAGGGGCAGAGCCGGGCCATCGAGCGCCTCAAGAAGAAGATGTTTGAGAACGAATTCTGGCTGCTCCTCAACTCACCCGCCATCCCCTTCCGCATCCACAACCGCAATGGGAAGGTGAGGAGCACAGGCTGGGGGCCGGGCTCAGCCCTCCTGGCGCACAGCCTGCTGCATCACTCTCTCTCTTGCAGAGCTACCTCTTCCTGCTGTCGTCCGACTACGAGAGGTCTGAGTGGAGGGAGGCCATTCAGAAACTGCAGAAAAAGGGTAAGTTTGGGGCTGCCAAGGCCCTCTTGGGGCTCTTGGCCCCCCCAGGGACCATGAGGAGGTCCCGCAGGATCACAGCCTGCTCGGTCCTTGGGCCAGCACTGGCTGCATCCCTCTGAAGCTCCTCTCCTGTCCTCTCCCAGACCTCCAGGCCTTCGTCCTGAGCTCGGTGGAGCTGCAGGTGCTCACGGGATCCTGCTTCAAGCTACGCACCGTCCACAACATCCCGGTCACCAGCAATAAGGATGGTGAGTGTCTGCTGGGCTGGTGGGTCCCTCTTTGCCTCCAGGTGATGCCGGTGAGGAGCTGCGGGGTCCCTCAGCTGGCGTGTGGTCCCTGCTCCGGGACCCTGGCTGGGCAGGGGGACAGCTACCCACCAGGTGGCACTGCTGGAGCAGAGTCGGGCTCCCAGGCAGGGCAATCCTGGCTGCAACGTGGGGCTGCTTTTGGGGTCTCTCCAGCGACCCCATGGGCTGGGCAGGACCAGGGTCTCCCCAGGGTGAGACCCAGCCAGCCCTACTGGGAACCTCCCCCAGGGCTGTCCAGCAGCAGGAGAGCTCAGGGTGTCCGGCAGGGATGATCAGCAACGAGGGATATGTGTCCTCTTCCAGACCTTGGGGACGGCCCTCCGGGGGGTTGGGGACATTGGGGTGTCACCACAGGCACCTTGTGTTCACGGTGGCAGAGGCTGCCTCGGGGACAGCCAGCCCGCATGCTGGCCCCGGGGCGCGGGAGGTGGCAGCCGAGCCCCGCTGCCGCCTCTGCTCTCCCCGCCCCCGAC